AATGGCATGGGGTGTAGCTTAATGGCAGAACACGTGCTTAGCAAGTGTGAAACCCGAGGTTCAATCCCTAGTACTGGAGGCAAGGCCCTTGTGGAATCTCCAGCCATGGCTGAGGATGTGTCCTGACATCCCCATGCCCAAATGCAGGTTTGCACTTCCCTGAAGTCACAGGCACTACTGCCTCTGCACATCCCTCCCACAGCCCTGCCTGTTGGCCTGGCCTGCTCCTATTCATCCTGCCTGATCCACGTGTCACCCTTTGGGAAGTCTCCCAATCCACCCATGGTGGAGAGAGGGCTCCCTTGGCTTCTGCTGCACCTGTCCTCCAGCAGGGAGCTCATCCCGTGGGGTCACAGGTGGTCCTCTCCCCCGTGTGCTTCCGAGGTCAAGTGCCAGGTCTCTTCATCTTTTCTTTCCTGGCCCTTGGCATTATGCCTGGCATGGAGTCAGCATCAGTGGCTGTCTGAGGAATGAGTGGACTCTCTGGGCCAGCCCCTGGCAGAGCGAGAGAACGGAGGGCAGAAGCAGAGCCAGCAGCAGCAGCTGGCAGTGCAGCCAGGTGCCTTCCTCCCCCGCAGGAGGCTCACCCTGGCCTGTGAGCAGGTCCTCGGCTCTGGTCCTCGGTGAGGCACTCAGATAAGGCAAGAGTGTCCTCTCTGACCACCTCCCCTTTTCTCCCTAGGTGCAATCATCCCTCAAGCATCCTGTGAGTATCCTCAGGGGCAGGAAAGAAGAAGTTGGGGTGGGGGACTCTCAGGAGCAAGGAGGCCACTTAGAGCACACAGAATATGAAACAGAACCAGGACATGTGAGGGCCTAAATGCATGGACAGTGACAAGAGTAATCATGATTTTAGGGAAGCAGAGTGGCCCCAAGACCACTCTGGGGACATGGCTTCAAGGCTCCTAATGGTAGTGCACTTCCCAAAGTGCACTTGGGCTTCAGAAGCCTCAAGGAGGCCGTTCCTACTTTGCCTAACTCAACACCAAGGCCTGGCCACAGTAGAGCTATTGATTTCTAGGTAGGAATATTGAGGCCCTGGAGAGCCAAGTGCCTTATTCTGGTGGTTAGAGTAGGGGCCAGAGGACACACCACAGGCAGATGACTCTACCTTACTTGGGGACCAGAAAGCTGCGCTGCCAAGTGTGGCCTGCAGATGTCCCCTGTGCCCCTTCCTCCACATGAGCGGCAGCTGATTAAAGAGTATTTTAGGACAGGGTGTACAGGGTCTCACTGCGTAGATTGGACTTGTAGTGATCCTCCTGTTTACAGCCTCCCAAGTGCTGGGATTACAGGCCTGTGCCATCACGCCCCATCTCAATATCCGCTGAGCTATTTGGCCACTGACTATTAACTGTGGGCCCAGTTGACAGAGATAGATGCCTTGGGTGGCCCTGAACCCCAGCTTTATGATCTTCTCCCCACCCCAGTGCTCCAGACGGCCTGTCCTTTGAGGTCACCTGAGCACTCTCTCCCAGATGAGAACTTCTTGGGGTCAGAGCTAATCTTTTTCTTTCTCCATAACATGTAGAACACAGTGCTGGGCCCATAAGGGATAACTGATATGGAACAAACAAATGTAAAAATCTGTGCATTGGGGCCAGCAAGATAGCTCAGTGGACTAAAGTGCCTGCTTAGGCAAGCACAGGAACTGAGGTTCAATTCCCAGCACCACATGCCATGCCAGCCCCTCCCCCAGGGCAGGCTGAATGGACCAGAGTCTGGGTGTAGTGGGGTATACCTGTAATCCCAGCACTGGGAAGGCTGAAAGCAGGAGGATCACCATGAGTTGGAGCTGCATAGTGAGACTCTGCAACAATGAAATACATTTTTAAAAAAACCAAAACAGTGCATTCATTTATTAATTATAAGTGCCTACTATACCCCTGGTCCCTGCTAAGCATTAAGAATATAATGGTGTTAAAAAGATCACTGTGGCCTCTCCCCTTTGGAGTGGGCTGCCTGTGCTCCAGAACATGCTGAGAGTTGGCTGCAGCTCTATGCATCCAGCTGTCCAGCACATCTGCATATCCTTGCTTTTGCCTCATGGTGAATGTTTGGGGAATATACACTGTCATACCGCTGGCCTAGTGGGAGGTCCCTTGACAGCTCAAGCAGAAGCAGCAATGTCTGCTGAATCCAGCCAGTCCTGCACATCTTTCAGCTATTTTAGCACCCATGTCCACTCTGTCTCTGCCATACTCCAAGCCTTCCCGGCTACTCCCAGGGTGGGTAGCCCACATCTTCCTTATGTCTCAAGGGCTGAGGCCCAAGGGTAGTCAGCTCCTGCTATGATGAACGAGCAGATGGATTCTCTCCTTCATTTGTTTCTCCACCTGCCCTCTGACCTGGGGAGGTGGGTTGGGGGAGAGGGAGCCAGAAATGCCCATCCCTGGTTTTCACAGGCGCAAGACCCCAACATCCTGGGCCAGGGCTGATGTTCATAGACTTACCACCTCCCTGGCCAGCCCTGCCAATCACAGTGGGCACTGGGGGCAGGCTTGCAGCTGAGCCCTGGATTTTACCGCTGGAGTGTGGAGGAGTCCCTAAGGAGGAATCTGGGCCAAGGAAGATTCCCTTAGGGAATCTTGGCCATCCTTATTTACCAACTTGCACAGAAGTATTTTTAATACTTATTTGAACTCTCTGGAGAGTTGGCCTGACTGGCATCTGTGTGTTCTAGTTCCACCAGCCTTGCTACCCACCATTGTGCCCATACAACTGTATTAAATCTAATTAAACCACATATTTTATTGATGTTTTTCATCAACAGTACATACAGAGCCATGTTCACAAATGGTGCTGAAGTCTCACCCCTGGGAACCTTCCCCCAAGTCACCACAGAGGCCACTTTCTCCCTCCCTGCCCCATGTCAGACCCCATGGTACACTCCCTGGACCTGGAAGACCAGGCCACCAAACTTGAACTCAGGACCAAGAGACACTCAAGGCCTGACTTGCCCAGGCCTGTCCTCTCTCCTTTGCCACTTTCACTGCCTAAGTATAGTGAGACTTGGAAGTAGAGATAAAGGATACCCGCAAGGACTCTTCCATTGAGAAAGCCTGGGACCCCCTGAGCCCTCCCTGCCACATCCTTCCTCTCCAAGGGAGGGATCCCAAGAAGGCAGAGAGACCGTTTGTCAAAAGGTAGAGTTCAGGGCATAAAGGGAGTAGTGGCAAGGTGCTCCTGATGGCAGGGATCCCATTGTCCTGTTTGCCACTGTATTGTTGGTGCCTGGAACTTGGCAAATAGTTGGTGTTTGGTAACTATATATAGGGTGAACAAATGGATCACTGAAAGAGTGAATGTGGGAGGGAGAAGTATACAACACTGGTCCTCAAGGGGGAATGAAGATAGGACCTGGGTGGACTCTTCCACCCAATATGTGCCCAAGAATTCATGGTGTTGTGCAGTGGGAGTCCCTGTGGCCACACACTGGAGGCTGAGGACTTTAGCTCTGGTGCTTGTGTGGATGTCAGATGGGCCTTCGACCCAGTCAGGAGGGAGCACTTGTGTTGTTCTCTCCCTTATATGCACGAGGGGCTGCTTCTCTGGGTCTCAGTACACAGAGCAAGGCATTCATCAAAGCCAGTCAGAAAAGCAGGGACAGTCTGGCAAATGCATCTTCTGTTCTGGTCATTCCCACCCCAGCCTTCACTCCCCCAGCTCCTCCCTTTAAATTGAGCATAATGGGGCCCCACATCTTCCTTTACCCAACCCCAACACTGTTCTGTCTTCTTGTCCTCAATCCCAGCCCTCTTAACTACTGTTAACATCTCTCTCTCTCTCTCTCTCTCTCTCTCTCTCTCTCTCTCTCTCTCTCTC